AGGGTTCCTGTGAGGATTCAGTGTGACAATGCATACAAAGCACCTACTCAGTCCCTGTTCTGGCATAGTGCAATTGCTCAGTGATTGTTAGCTATGAGGATGAGGAGGAGGATGATCTAAAATTTTACCATCTGCCCTAACTTCTTGGTATACTATGACAAATCAAAATGAGCACTCATGTTCCATTTTCAGTTCCTACCCCAAAACTAAGTCTTCCCTAACTAAACCAATGCATGGCATCTCCTAGCTGGAGAAATAAAGTAAGCTCTATCTATATACAAAGTGAGACACTGTGTCTGACTTTTATATGAGTGCGTTCTCACTGGTAGTAACTAACCAAGGACCAAACATTAACAGGGATTCAAAAGAACAAAAGATGGTGCCATGTGACAACATGTCTTCAACTGAGTTGAGCTACTTTTTCCCTGAAGAAAAATAACTAGCAGGCCATGTGAGACCAAAGCTTGCTCAATATTCCTAGTGTGATCTGCTTGTAACGAGATTCCTTGGCTCATTTCTGGATTCTGACTCTGTGCTGACCCATGGGAGACACGGTAAGTCTCTTGACAAATTGACACAGGAGACTAGAGCTAGACAGCAGAACGTCTCCTCTGAGAGTCTCTTCCTAATCACAGAGTTTAAGAGGGCAGCTCTTCTGAGCCAAAGCCAACAGGGCCAAAGGGACTCAGTGTGAATGCCACCCTGTACTTCGGCCAGAGTCCAGTGAAGTGTAAGTGACTCAATAATTTAATAAGGCTGAGAACCAAATAAGGCTAAAATTTTAAAGATACCAAGAGTCTGTCATTTATTTTTCCAAACAAATGATAATCAGATTTCCTAGAACTGTAGTGAGTAGTGATCTTTTGTAAATAAGTCACAATTACTCTAAAATGGAACGTAGACAGATTCCACAGCCTCAAGAAGGTGAATGGACACTTTTGGGTCTGAGGAGGCTTCTATACAAAAGAAAAGTCATTATTCTCTTATTTATTCAACTAACTCTCATAATCATCAATTTCTTAAGATGTTGATTCCTTTATCTCTGGCTCCTTAGATATATTTTGTATAAAAAAGAAAGGAAAGGGAAGGAAAATAAGGGAGGGAGGGGATGAAAACTCTAGCAAAAAGGTAATGTCACTATTTTTTTTTACCTGCACAATTACTTTACACACAAAATATAATTATAAAGGTTTTGCCTATCTTGCATATTTTAATTTTTTTAACACAGATTCTGTTTCCAGCCACAAATTTTGCTTATAAAGATTAAAATATTCTGGGACATCCATGGCTGCCGTAATAATTTCTTTTCCTTGCAAATGGTATTTCCTTTACAGTCTCAAATTGCGTTTTCCCCTCCACTTTATTTTTCTTTTCCTCTGGTAGGAATATTGACTTCATGACTAAGATTTTGATGCATGAGCACATTTCGGTATTTTTACTCTCCCACAGGGTTTTTATCCTTCTGGAATGTATAAATCATTTTGAAAGCTCCTTTTTGTTCTGTACTGTGCTTTTGAGATTATCCACTGGCATGTTCCCTCCACAGAAACACCCTTAGGGTTCAGCCAGAGAAGGCCCAGATTTGGATGGTAGAAGGGCTGCTGCTACTGTGCTCAGCTGCACTTGCTTCTGGCTGGGTGGAGGCTCAAAAAAAACCAAAAAAACAAACAAAAAAAAACAGCCAGTAGAAGAAGAGAGAGAGAGAGAGAGGTAGCCATATGGTGCTAACATAGCCTTTAATTCACTGAGACACATTCTAGCCACTGAACACTCACTCTGGCAAACCTCCGCAAAGGAGAGCCATCCACCCATTCCACACATTTCTTTGGATCCATGGTACCTTCTGGGACCTCTTCTCCCTTCCCAAGCTAAACACTGGTGCTCATTGCTGCCTGTCTTTGTGTGTGTCAGGCTCTAAGAAGACCAAGAAGAACTAACAATGTGATTTCCTCCTGCATCTCAGACTTCCTTATTTCTCTCAGCACGGCCTTCCTCACTTCCAGGGACAGTAACAGCTGTGCACTTGACATTTGAGCCATAATTTCTCACAGTAATAATTTTAGATTGCTTCTGCACCTCAGAAAGTGACAGGTTAAAAAATGAGACAACCAGGCAATTGCCCTTAATCTCTAAGGGACTCTAAAACATCCCTGGATAGGTGAAACACATAATAGAACTCCTTTCAGGGAGAGGGATGTGGTTGGGAAGAACGCTTGGAAAAATCAGGGCAAGCAATGGCACCTACTCTAGGAGGTGTCAGTAACCACTAAGAAAACTTTATACAGGACAAAGCCCAATTGCCGTAGGGCTCCTTTGTTTGTTTGTTTGTGCTAAGCCTAGTGTTGGGAGTTCCTTTGTAGCTGAGCTCCACTGACAGGAGAAATGATAGCTTCCCCTATAGCAAGGCTTTACCTTTCTCTCACACACCACACACCTTTCCTCCAAATAAATACTAAACAACATGGAAAGAACATTGGTTTGAAGGGGCTATTCGTGCTCCCACATCTTACTCTGACCTTTCTTTTTTGCATTTGTTTCCCCAAATTTTATGGATATCTTGTCTTAAAATATTATTTTGTTGCCCATTCAATGCAATTCAAATGTATACCATAGGCAATCAAGTTTTTTTTCCTGGGCTCATGTACCTGGCCCACTTTCCCTGCATCTAGTGAGTCCATAGCCATCTTATCTATGTCTTCACAACTTATTCCAAGAAAGTAAATTTATACTTACATGAAACATATTTACAACAAATTGATGGCTGATCTGGGGTAAAAGCAGCATTTTTCAGCTCCTAAATTAAAGATACCAGAAGATCTTCCCTCCTCCTGATATAATTCAGTTTTGTAATTTCCCTCCTTTCCTACTCCAAATATGCCTATAGTTTTCCTGCCTCAACACAGCCTGAACAATATTTTGTCACTCATTGCAACAGGCTTATCAGGAAAGGAAAAAGGCACATGAGATCTGTTGTTCTCATCTAATACATTAAAAAAATTCTTCTTTGTTGACTCCACATAATCAGGCTTTCAAGCCCAAGACTCTACTAGAACTGTGGCCAATAAGGTCATCGGTAGCCTCCTTCTTGTTCAACTGAATATATGTTTTCAGTTGTCATCCTCCTTAACATCTCCAAATTATTTATGCTATAATTTTATGCTTAAAATTAAAATATTTTCAAATGAGCCATTATCATCACTGTAAAAATAATAAAAGTCAAATTTTCCTATAATCGCATCCCCCAGCACAATATGGCAGTTAATTCATGATAATATCAAGTTCATATTCTTTCAGGCTTTTTCCCCCACATATGCAAGTATTTATTAACATACACACACACATACACACACACACACACACACACACACACACACACAGAGAGAGAGAGAATATTCCTAACCATATGGCAGCACATCATAGTATTGTTCTCTAAATAGGCCATTTTGTTGTTGTTATTTAATGTATTTCACACATTTGTCCATGGTAGGACACCATAACAGCACAGTTCAACATACCTTTCACCAACAAAAGAAAATGTCTGATAACTGAGCTGTCCAATATGGTAGGCACTAGTCACATGTAGCTTTTTATCATTTGAAATGTGGCTAGTGTGACTGACTAACTGAATTTTTAATTCTCTTTTATTTTAGTTAATTTAAATTTACATAACCATAGCTCCATCCCATCCTTTCTAATAAGCTGCCTGGAGTTGCACTGTTACTCTCTCTAATCTTTGCCTATCCAGCTGGTATCTCAGTGGTCTTTTAAGGCACATTTCTCTAATGTTGGTGACACACTCATTTATACTTGAAACATTTGCCTCATTTTCCACGATGAACTATTTTCTAAAACACTCACAGTGGTTCCTAGATTCGCAGTGGCAGTTCCCTAAGTATGCCAAAACTTAGGCACTTGTTTTGGCAGTGTTAGTGTTACTTGTTATTTAAGCAAAATGGTTAAAACCATAATTTGATATATGGTAGCAATCCCAGACCCACTTACCAAATTTCTAGCAAATATTGTGTGTGCTTGTAAGGGACATGGGAGGGCAGGAGAGGCCTTGCATTTCTTCCAGTCATTACAAGCCAGAGGTTTTTCTTTCTCACTCTGGGTTTTATTCCTTGCACAATACCTTTTTCATCCACTTCTCTTTATTTCCTAAATACTGCTAACTGAAAATTATACATATAAAAGCTTTAAACAAAGGCTTAAGGCTCCCAAGGGAGTTTACATTCCAATATTTTAAATCAAATAGTACACCTCTTTATTCTTAGAATTCCCTCCACCAAAAAGAAAGCAGCTATTTTTTTTTTTTTTTTTATTTAAGGTCCAACTTTCTGTTTTGTTTCTGGTTCTCTTCTCTCTTTCTCCAACAACTTCCAGTTCTCTCTCTAGTTTACATGACTCCAAACCTTAAGCCCCTGTTAATACTTTCACAACAAATCAATTTTGCCAATGGTTTGTCTCCCCTAGACCATCGAGGCTGGACCTGGAATATCTCATCTTCACTCTTACTGAAGTGTTCCTAAAGGTCAGTGAGAGCTGACCTTGATTCTGCTCCCCTGCACTATCACCAGAAGCTATCCACCAATGGTTCTAATTCAGTGAGTCCAGCTCTCTCACCCCCATTTTGCTGTCTTAGCTATGTGAACTTTCCCAGGATGGCATGGGATGGGACCCCTGTGTCACACATATTGTAAAGAAAAAAGCCTCCCTCCATGCCCTACAAAACTGCACATTTATGATGGCACTTTGAAAAGATATGGGCTGTGGTGTCACATATTGGCAATTCCTCTGCCACAGGCTTAACAGAAGATTAAGAAGACGGCAAAAACAGAAGAGGGAGAAGATGGTGAAGCCGCTATCTAACATGAGCTAGAATGCTCCTGATTATAAAGCAGAGAAATTGACTTCTTTTCTTAGTGTTTTCTATAGTCATTTCTCAATAGAATTTCTTCACGTTGACTTTTTATATTGCTTTCAGACATTGCAATTAAAGAATGCAGAGAAAGAACCTCACAGAGGTGACAGAACTTGTTTTCCTGGGGTTCTCCAGATTCCACAAACATCAAATCACTCTCTTTGTGGTTTTCCTCATCCTGTGCACATTAACTCTGGCTGGCAATGCCAACATCGTGACTGTCGTCCACATTGACCGTCACCTTCACACCCCCATGTACTTCTTCCTGAGCATGCTAGCTAGCTCAGAGACAGTGTACACACCGGTCATCATTCCACAGATGCTCTCCAGCCTCGTAGCCCAGACCCAGCAAATCTCCCTAGCAGGTTGTATTACCCAAATGTTCTTCTTTGTTACTTTGGCCATCAACAATTGCTTCTTGCTCACAGTGATGGACTATGACCACTCTGTGGCCATCTGCAATCCCCTGAGATACATGGTCATCATGTGCAAGAAGGTGTGTGTCCAGCTGGTGCGTGGAGCCTTTGGCATTGGCCTGGCCATGGCAGCTGTCCAGGTAACATCCATATTTACCTTACCTTTTGGTCACAGGGTGGTTGGTCATTTCTTCTGACATCCTCCCTGTCATGAAACTCCCCCGTATTGATACCACCATCAATAAGATACTCAATTTTGTTGTCAGTTTATTTGTCATCCTGGTCCCCATGGGTCTGGTCTTCATCTCCTATGTCCTCATCATCTCCACTATCCTCAAGATTGCCTCAGCCGAGGGCCAGAAGACCTTTGCCACCTGTGCCTCCCATCTCACTGTGGTTGTTGTCCACTATGGCTGTGCCTCCATTGCCTACCTCCAGCCCAAGTCATAAAACTATAGAACAAGACCTTGTTCTCTCAGTGACCTACACCATCATCACTCCCCTGATGAACCCTGTTGTTTACAGCCTAAGGAACAAGGAGGTCAAGGAAGCCCTATGCAGAGCTGTGGGCAGATACATTTCTTAATTCACTGATCCTCTTTATATATTCATAGAAATGTGTGTCCTCACCATCATTAAACAACTTTATGACTCTGTCCAGTGCAGTCTATTCTGCAATGGGATGTGCATTTTTTGCTTTAGTATTTTTATTACAAAATCTTAGTCTTTGTTTCCATAGATTTTAAAGTTTTGTCCAGGCATTTTCAACTAGGCATGTGAGAGGTCAAGGAGAACAGGCATGAGTTTTAGGAATGACTATCCAAATTTCTAGGATAAAGAAATTGACTTCTTAAAAGCATATTAAATGTGATTATGCTATGTTTAAAAAATAAAAGCAATGTGTATCATTTTTGTAATGCAATTCACAGAAAATAATACTACAAAATCATTCCAGCAAGGTAAGGATAGTCAATAATAATGAATTCCCCTGAAAGAGAATAGTATCAGAATTGTAAGGGAAAAGTGAGAGGTGTATATTAAATTTTTTTTTAATTGAGAAAGTTAGAAAACATTGGTTTAGTCCTTGAAAACTTAGTCTTTATTATTCAATTTACGCTAAAGCCTTTGCTTTTATTCAGTATGGTCTTCAGATGCTGGCCATGGCCACAGGTCGTACTTAACTCCCACCTCTCTAATCTAAATGCCCTAATTCAGTTCTCTCTGGTTGCTGGTTCTCTCCATGGGATCAATGTCTCTTTAATCATTATGAAGAAAAATTGAGTGGTCAAGATCTGTGCCCTGTTTGGAATGAGAACCATAAAACCATTCTTCATTTGCACACACCATGGCACCTCCTAGAAGCATAAAGAAACAAAAAAAGAACAAAACAAACAGTGCCAGCAGTGAGGAGTAGTTCAGAAATATATTGTTAAACCACTCCATTCACCAAAAAAGGCAAACAAGAAAAATTTTTTTTTCTTACTAGACTTCTTTGAGAAAAATATTCTTTTTTCCAGAGCTTTCTGGGAGCTTTTCTGGTTCCATGCCTCTAGACACATCTGCTGTCTTTGTTTGTTCAAGCTGCTTTGACAAAAGACGAAAGACTGGGTAATATACAAACAACAGAAATTTTGAGCTCACAGTCCTGGGGTCTGGGAAGTCCATGACCAAGGCTCTAACAGGTTCAGTGTTTGGTGAGGGCCCAGTCTCTACTTCCAAGATGGCACCTTGTTGCTGTATTTTCCAGAGGGGATGGATGCTGCTTCTCACATGAGAAGAGATGGAAGGGTAAAAATGGACCTATCTAGTTACTCCCAGCCCTTTTATAAGGTCACTAACTCATTTATAAGGTTATATGGTTTGGATGTCCCACCCAAATCTCATGTTGAAATGGAATCACCAATGTTGGAGGTGGGGCCTGGTGGGAGGTGACTGGGTCATGGGGATGGATTTCTCATGAATGGTTTAGTACCATCTTCTTGGTACTGTCCTCGACAGTTCTTGCAAGATCTGGTTCTTTAAAAGTGTATGGCACCACCCACCTCACTCTTTTGCTCCTGCTCCCACCATGGGAGACACCTGCTCCCCTGTGACTTCCCACCATGACCGTAAGCTTCCTGAGGCCCACCCAGAAGCAGATGCCTGTGTTATGCTTCCTGTACAGTATGTAATACCATGAGCTAACTAAACCTCTTTTCTTTCTAAATTACTCAGTCTCAGGTGTTTCTTTGTAGCAATGCAAGAACAGACTAATACATAAGGGTTCCGCCTTTGGGACTTAATCACCTCCTAAAGGTCCCACTTCTTAACGATATCACATTGGGGCTTAAGTTTCAATGTGTATTTTCAGGGAGACACAAACATTCAAATCAAAGCACCTGCTATGCTTTTTCTGTGTCCTTTGCAGTGGGCCTTCCCCTAAATACAAACATAGAATTATAAGCTTGTCCACCATGCCAGAGTCACTTGGGTCTGCCTGTTCTTTCTCTTTCCCTGGACTTTCTATGAGCCAACTTCTCAGTTGTTTTAAGACCTCTCTCCACCCCAGTGTTAATTGGGTTATTTGCACTGATTAATCACTTAGCAACACAGAACCAGAAACAGTCAAGATTTTCACAAAAGGGCGTCGAGTTACCAAGAAAATCATTCTTACTCATATTAGGATGTAACCTTTGAAATGTATTTAAAGAGAAACAAGTTTTTAAATAGAGTGATGCGCCATATACAATTAAGAATCAGGACATCTTCTAATTATACTTTTGGCAACATGACAAACAAATTTATTATGAGGCTAGAGAATCATCCCACAATTTTACGTTTTGAATCATAATAGAGCAAAAGCTCAGCTTCCTTTGTTGCTTGAGACCAAATCCTCAAGTTTCTGACCTCCCACTTTCCCAACTCCTATTTCTTCTGCAATGAAGACAGTGACTAAATGAGATAACAGACATGAAAATGCCAACTACCAGCAATAAAAGGCCTGGTTAAGGGAAGAAGCTAGCTCTGGAAAGTGACAGAGGAGAGAAGGAAACAAGGAGATGGCTCTGAGGGTAGATACCAGATGAATGTAACTTTTCAGAAACTCATTTCTGAAGGAAACAGGAATTCCAAAGCAACAAAGCAACGTGATGTAAAGCAGAAGACAATTACCACTTATTGACAGTTTACTACAGAGCAGACATCATGAAATGGTAGTTATGTATGTTATTTCACGTAAAACTTCAATTTTATAGTACTTGGCACTTCACAAGATTCCTAAAATATAATGTCCTATTTGATCCTTATAGTAACCTTAAGAAATATGCATTGTTATTATTGTTTCATTGTTATAAAATATGCATTGCTTCTATAATTAACCTTTTTAGGATCATGGTAGAAACATTACCTGACTTGCTTCAAGTCACACAGTTGGTAATTGACAAAACTAGAATTGATACCGACATTCACCGACCAACTTCAAAAGGTATGTGTTTTCCACTACATCACCACTATCTCTCATCTTTAATCTTTTTGAAAGATAGTATATGCTTCCCAACGTTTAGTCAGTCTGGTCTCATCCTGGACATCACGTCCACCAAAAATGCTTCCCTAAATAACTGATTAGATGTTTCTTTCATAAGCATCCACACCATTCTAAGCTTGTCTCTGCCCTGGCCATGTATCAAAATTGCCCATTTCCTAGTCTGCCTCCCTTACCACATAGTCAACCCCTCAACAGAAGGACTGCTTTCTGTAACCTCAATGTTAGGACAGTTCTTGGCATAAGACACACATAAGTTACTCATTAAGTATAAAATTGAAATGTACTCATCTGTAGCTTCTTGATGGCTAAGTGTACTGACAATTACCATCCATTATTCTGTGCTGTGAGGCATCCAGGTTCTCAGGATGATGCGGCTTTCCCTTGCTTTGAAGAGCTCACGGTATACTTCTTTCTTATTTGTTATTTCCAAATTGTGAGAGAGGAGAAAAAGCAGATGAACGGTATATAAAATTACCTGTAAAGTAGCACCCTTGGGGATAGCACTACATAAAGATGAAGAAGGAGTTCCGATCATATTGCCTGGGTTCTAATTTTGCCTCTGCCACTCACTACATGTTCTAACCTCTTTATGCATCTGTTTCCAGATTTTTAATGGGGTAGTGATAGCACCTAGACAGGTAACTATCATTATTCCCATTCTTATACATGGAGTTTGGCAGGATTAAGTAAACTGCCAGGTATTTAGAAGTAGTAAAGTTGTCTGCCTGACACCAAATTCTGTATTCCATGCTCCCACTATTTGACAGGACTTGGTGAAAATAGATAGAGAGATAATAGTACTCCACATGAATATGTGAATCTATACAAAAATCTACATACTGTTATAAACCCATTTATCAAAGTTATATTGCATGCAGACACCATGCTAGACACTGGGGTTAGAGTAATAACTAAGATATCACAACCCATGCATTCATGTGCTATTAGAGAAGCAGGGGAGTCCAAAAATTAAGCAAGTAGTTACAATAAGGTGTGATAAAATCCTATGACAGGGGAAATGTGGAATGCCATGAGAATACACATTGGTGGGTTCTAACCAAATAAAGGGGTCAAGGAAGAACTACCAGAGGAAATAGAGTTTAAGCTTAAAATCTGAAGATTTGGTAGGAATCAGCTGGATGAAATCTTGGTAGAAAGGTTCTGGGAAAGAAAGATCAAAAGTATATTCCAGGCAGAAGAATTAGCAATGAAAAGGTGTGTAAACAAATTAATTATAAAAAAGTTTAATAGAGCTGGGGTATAACATTTATGGGGTACTGATAGAAGATCAAAAAAGAAAGACAGTAGTACTCACATGGTAAAGAACTTCAAACCCATACTACCCAAGAACATTTATGTGACTTTAAGTAAAGCAATGGTATCATTTCACATGTAATTCAGAAAGCTCACCCTGCTCACAGAGGGGAGTAATGGATTATAAAGGGGTAAGGCTGGCAGGAAGATTGACTGGGAATCTACAGCAGGAATACAAAGACAGGTGTTGGTAGGCTGAGCCAGGTGGAAGCTGTGCTAATGAAGAGAAATGGACAGATTTAAGAAATCCGTGGGAAGCAAGATTGACATTTCCTGGTGATGGATTCCATGTGAGAGGTAATGGAGCCAAAGGTGATCCTGATTATTTCTGGCTTAGACAGTGGGGTGAACAGCAGTGGCTTCAACCAATACAAGGAACACTGGAAGAGAAGCAGGTCAGGGGGTAAAAAAATACCATGAATTTAATTTTTGGACTTTTTTTTTTTGAGACAGAGTTTTGCTCTTGTTAGTCAGGCTGAAGTGCAATGGTGCAATCTCAGCTCACCACAACCTCTGCCTCCTGGGAGCAAGCAATTCTCCTGTCTCGGCCTCCCGAGCAGCTGGGATTACAGGCATGAACCACCATGCCCAGATAATTTTGTATTTTCAGTAGAGACGGGGTTTCTCCATGTTGGTCAGGCTGGTCTCCGACCTCAGGTGATTGGCCCACCTCGGCCTCCCAAAATACTTGGATTTCAGGTGTGAGCCACCGCGCCCGGCAATATTTGGACTTTTGAGGTAGAGATACC